AGCTATAAAAGCATAAATTCAGAGCACTTTTACAACAGCACTTTGAAAAGGCACCAAAATGAAAGGATTAGCAACTATTTCTCATAACGACTGCAGGTAAATCTCTTTCCTATAGCTTTCCTTCTCCCATTTTGCTTCTATCTCCCTCCTCCCTTAACATGCTCTCTCTTCCTCTCTTTCTCACAGTAGTATCCTCTATCTTTAAACTCTCATTCCTTCACCCCTCTTCTCCCCCCCACCCCCAACTGCACATACTGTACATATTACCCTCACTCCTGTCCTCTCCCTGTTACTGCACCCATCAACCTCTGTTTATCCTACACCCACATGCTGGCAAAGCCTCCAGAACATTTGAGCATGTGCACTACTGTAAATCTAACTTTCCTCTTACTTCTGTCACCCTTTTGCTTCTCCTACTTTCTGGGAACATTTGCCCTTATCCTGACCCCCCACAATCTAGGTTTATTCAGCACATCGAACACCCTTTTTCCTCTGGCAGCAGACGCAATCCAAGTTATCTCATTGCTATATCTCTGCTCCCAAGATCCAGTCCCCCCTTTTAATGTGCCCTCTGGAATTCTTGCTCAGTCTGTAACAAGCTCACCTCCATCCATGACCTCTTTATCTCCAACTCCTTTAACCCACTTGCGGCTACTGAAACCTGGCTCCAGAATTCTGACTCTGCCGCACTGGTTGCCCTTTTCCATTGTGACCTCCACTGGACTCACTACCCCAGACCCAGTGGATGCAAGGGAGGCGGATTTGGCTTCCTTCTATCCCCACAAAGCACATTCCAAGTTCTTCCTACACCACCTTCTCTATCACTTTCCTCTTTCTAAGTTCATTGTATAAGTCTGTTTTCCCCTGTTTCTCTGAGAATTGCTGTGATTTATCAACCTCCAGGACTAATATCACACTTCCTTGACAACTTCTCTGCCTGGCTACCCTATCTTTCCTCTGAAACATACATTGTCATTGTCGGTGACTTTAATATCTCTGTCAATATTAACAACACACATAGGCAGAACTACTGCACCAAGGCCTGAGGCTGTGGGGGGGGGGATCATTGAGGTCCGGGCCTGGGCACCCCCTTGGTGGAATATGGGGCAGTGCACTACTGGGTTCCTGGGGCTCCGCACTGTCAACGGCCTTCTCAGCAAGGGGACTCACTCAAGGGGACTGTGACTCACCGCTCTGTCTCCCGGCCGCGTCCCTAGTAACAGGTGTCCGGAGAGGAGAAGTATGTGTCACATGCCGTGCCCCCAGCACACCGTCTAGCTGGGGGCCTGTGAGGCTCTGGCAAGGTGAGTCTGAATGAGGAGCGGAGACTTTGCGAGTGCGGTGAAATGTGAAATCGCACTAACAAAGTCGGATAGAAGTGACATTTAAGGACCGATCTGCTGTTCCAGGGCTGATCGGTTCTCCTGCACATGCGATCTGCGATGCCAATCTGCCCTGGAACAGCTGACAAAGCGTTGGAATGCTTCACCTGTTGGCGGTCATATATTCCACCTCTGTAAAACTAGGCGGGATTACGTTAAAACGTGTGACCACGTCACAGGTAGTCACAAGCAGCCTCTGAGATACTCAGCCTAACTTCTTCCTTTGTCCTAACACATTGGACAGGCCTTCCTACTCACTCTGATGGTAACACCCTTTATCTCATATTCTCCCATTGTTGCACTCCCAGCAATCTCACCAACACCCCTTTTCCACTTTCTGATCACAACCTCATCAGATTCACACTCTCCCTATTGTTAGCCCCCCACCACTCCAAATAGCAAACCGCTACCCGTAGGAACCTTTGCCACTTTAACCCCTCTCTTCTTTACTCGCAACAGACTACCTTTATGACAAAATGACAACCATTTCATGTCCTGACCTTGCCACTTCTCTCTACAATAGCTCACTCTTGTCCTCTTGTCCTGTATGGATGCACTTGCCCCTCTCACCACTCACAGAATCAGGCCCCATCCACTAAAGCCTTGGCAGACAGATGACACTAGAAGACTCAGAAGACATAGTCATGCTGTTAAGCGACTATAGTATAAATCCAAATCCCTGAAAGACTTCACCCAATATAAATCTGCCCTCCTAAAACACAGTACCTGCCTCAACACAGCCAAACAGACCTATTTCATCACACTCATTAACATCATCTCATCTAGTCCTAGTCAGCTCTTTTCTACCTTCAGCTCCCAACTTCACCCCCATCCGCCTCCTCCAACCAACTCACTGACTGCCCAGTAGATTGCCAATCACTTCGGAGATAAGATTTATACAATTCACTACGAAATCTCCACTTTCCAGACCTCTCCCACTCCAAAAACACCTTGTCTACCACCACACTCACTACTCTCTTTTTTTTGATGCAGTTAACATGTGAAGTTGCTACTCTTTTGTCTAACACATGCCTAACCACCTGCCCCTTGGTCCCCATCCACTCACAACTACTCCAGTCACCCTCTAGCTCTATTTTACACTCTCTTACTCACATCTTCAATCTCTCCCTTTCTAATGGTGTCATCCCTACACCTCTAAAACAAGCATTGGTGACCCCAAATTAAAAAACACTCTTTGGGGCCCACCAGTCTGAACAACTTGAGACCCATCTTCTTGCTCCCGCCACAGCCGGCCACCGCCGGCCACCGCCGCTACCTTACCGTTAACAATCTCTTTGATCCGTTTCAATCTGGCTTTCGTCCACAACACTCCACAGAAACTGTCCTTCTAAAACTTACTAGCGATCTACTAACTGCTGAAACCAATGGTCACTACTCTATACACATACTTTCAGACCTTTCTGCTGCCTTTGACATAGTTGAACACCCACTTCTCCTTAATAAACTCAAATCCCTTGGTATCCAGGACTCTGCTCTCTCATGGTTCACCTCCTACCTATCTCAGTTCTTGGGCCCCTTCTATTCTCCATCTACACCTGTTCTCTGAGTCAATTGATAGCCTCCCATGGCTTCCAATACCATCTTTATACTGATGACATCCAAATCTATCCCTCCACTCCTCAGCTCACCCCCTCTGTCTCTTTACATATGACTAATCTACTTACTGACATCTCAGCACGGATGTCAAACCACTACCCCTCAAATTCAATCTGTCTAAAACTGAACTTATAATATTTCCTCCTCTCCATGTTCCCTCCCCCGACTTCTCCATCACAATCAACAGCACTACAATCAACCCCTCCTATCATGCAAGTGTAATCCTTGATTCTGATCTCTCCTTTCAGCCCCACATCCAATCACTATTTCAATCTTGCTGACTCAACATCCGTAACCTTTCTAAAATTAGCCCCTCTTTATCAAACGAAACCGGAAAGCTTCTAATTCACTCCCTTGTAATCTCTTGTCTCAACTACTGTAACTCCTTCCCTGTTGGCCTACCACTAAACAGGCTATTCCCTTTCAGTCTATCATGAATGCTACTGCCAGACTCATCCACCTTACCAACCATTCAGTGTCTGCCACCCCTCTTTGCCATTCCCTCTTCTGGCTCCCAATTGCCCAACAAATAAAATTCAAAATACTAACAACAACATACAAAGCCATTCACAACTCTGCCCCCAACTACATCTCCAACCTCATCTCAAAATATCACCCAAACCGTCCTCTCCACTCCTCTCAAGACCTCCTGCTCTCTTATCACCTCCTCCAATGCTCGCCTCCAGGACTTCTCTAGAGTGTCTCCCATCCTCTGGAACTACCCCTATCTGTCCGCTTATCTCGTACGCTATCCACCTTTAGGCGATCCTTAAAAACTCCTCTCTTCAGGGAAGCCTATCCCACCTCAACATAACTGCCCTTTTCCTTCTTCCACTTACTCAATCGAAACAATTATTACCTTTTGTATCACTTTCTCCTCCTACTAGATTGTAAGCTCTCACAAGCAGTGCCCTCCTAACCCTATTGTACTGAAATTGTATTGTAACTGTACTGTCTCCCCCATTTTGTGAAGAGCTGCGCAAACTGTTGGCACTATATAAATCCTGTATTATAATAATATGTTATTTGTGACAGAGGTCCGTCGGGAGTGCATCATGTTAGCAGTCAGGATGTTTTGTTTTGGCAGGCGCCATTCATTGTCATTGACACGGATTTACAACACTGGACAACAGGACTAACAAAGGATTTACACTGTATTACATGTTTATTTATTTTTTAATAAAATACTTTGTCAAAAGTGTTGGGTGTTTATTTACTACTTTTTTTATTGGGAATAAGTAACCAGGTGTACCTCTTACTCATTTACATGGGGGAGCCAGATATCTACGGACCCCCTTATTTTAAAGGAGACTTCCATATACTGATAAGTTCCCCAGACAGATCCCAACATGCTCTTGGGGACCCTATCAACATGAGGACAAGGTGCCTTGTCAGGGAAGGGGTGAAGGAGGTTTCACTGGTCCCTGGCAAGGTACCCCCCTTTGTTGATGGACTATGGCTTGGTACCTAGTATGATTCGCAGCCCTAAAATCCAAAGCAGACCTCTATGTTGGGTAAGGGTCTGATATGGATTTAGGGGAGACCCCACATAATTTTCTGCATAGCACCATTGGTTGTTGTAGTGAACCATAACTAGGAATGACTGTGTGGCCACCGGCGTCCTCACGGCTGATAACATTATTGGCTGCTAGGGTGCTGGTGATTGCACAGTGATTGGTTGCTAGGACACAGGTGGCAAAAAGCATCCTAACAACCAAAGATGCTGTGTGGCCACTTGTGTTCTAGCAACTAAAGATGCTTGCAGCTTGCACACCAAGACGTTGTGATCTAGTGGGTGTAGTAATACAGGCACTAAATTAATGACTTCCAGCTGCAATAGCAGCCAGAGGTTCGCATGGGTGAACAGGCCAAATTTAGCTATTTAGCTCACCCATTTTAAGAATCGCAAGCATGCAAAGTTTGGTGCAAACCGTGCATGGCTGTGAACGTAAATCCCATCCGTAATAATTAGCACCATAATTTAAAAAAGTTTATACATACCATATGTGGTAGGAACACCAGCAGGCCGGGGCGGACTTAGTGAATTGTTGTACATAGTAGCATCTATAAGAACAGAGGAAATATACTGATGCTTATGTGCATATACACATGCATACACACAAACTAATGTCCTTTCTGTGCATAAGGAAATAATAAATCGCTGTAAATGCCAATCAATATCTAAGGCAAACATAAATATAGACCTGCAAACCTCTTTTTTTGCCTATTTTTGTGTATTTTTTGTTATTTAATGTTTTTTATACAATAGAATAAAAAAGCACAAAAATACATTTTTAACAATGGGTTGCTACTTTGGCAGCTTTTTCTCATATTGTGGAAAAAAAAGTCAAGATTCTTTTTTTTTTGTATGTGCAGTTTATTTTTATATGTTACAAAAACTTTACATACTAGAATACACAGAAAACTTTACATTCTTACTAAGTTGTTATTTACGTGCCTTCTTTTTCATAGTGTAAAAAAAACAAGACAAATAACAACAAAATACACCAAAAACAAACAAAAGATACACAAGAGCCATTTTAAGTTACCCCATTGTAACCTGAAAAACAACTTTACTTTTTGCTTTCCCTATTTTCTCCAATGTATTTGGAGAAATTTGGAAATGTTATCCCCATGAAATCAGTGATTTTTTTATAGTTAACTCCTAGTTAAGTGGAACTTAAAAAAGTGAAGATTTGCTATCTTACAGTGAGTAACTTTGCCTAAGCAGTGCCTAGGAATATTTAACTTTTGTCACGAATTTCCCCTGAAAAATAGCATCGCACAGCGGCTGCTGATGAACATATTTTGACCCTGCCCTGCACACACAGAATGAAATTGCTCATAACAAGCTTCCATAGAATTTTAAATTACTCCTGGTCGGACTGCTTGTGACCACGAACCTACATGAGACCACCTGAGGATTAGTCTAGCACTGAGGTAATAAAAGAGGAACCCTGCATTCCAAATCCTGCCAAAACTCATATGCCGTACCCAAGATAGCGACTGAGACCTCTGGAGATAATGGTCCCTCGCTTCCGATTCTTTTGCAGACAGCCAAAATTCTATATCTTTTTAGAGGACTGACAATGACACTGCTCCTAATGATTTCCTCCTCTGTCGGATGAGAGACATAATTTAGGAAATCTTAGAGGTCTTGTGCAAACTCTCTTCAGAGCTCCTCCAAGAGATTAGGTATGATCACCCTACAAACTTGTTTGAACACCGGATGGACAATAAAGAAATAATAATTTGCGCCAATATTTGGTGTGGAAGCTGCCAAGCACTAAAAATACACCAAAATAAGTGTACCGAAACAGAATAAAATATAAATGTGCCAAGCTGAATACATACAAAACAAATGTGTAAGAACACAAATCTATATATATAAATCTCCCGAATGTGTATCCAACAACTCAGATCAGATCAGAGTGTGAAATATCAACTGACAAAATATCAGTGTATAGTCAAACTTGCAATAAAGTCCATGAATGTGATAATTAGACATATAATAACATCGACGTGTGTATCCACATAAGAAAATAAAGAATTATATCAAAAAGTGTAGTGAATCTATGGTAATGCAAAACAGTGATCAACACTCCCTTTCCGCTTTCCACCTGATGCACCCTGTGATCCAAAACGCACAGGGGGGTGCTCACCTGATGTTATGGACCCACTATGTAGGTCTCACAGCTCCCTTCTTAATAGGGGAGTAAACCCATGATTTCAAAGGTAATCTCAATGTAGGTCCTCTTCAGCAAGCATTAACATCTCAGAATTTCCAGAGAACAACTGAAGATTCTCAAATGTATTTGGGGTACCACAAGACGAAGATTTGCTAACCATATTTTGTACAGACAAAATATGTCTGTACAGACATTTCATATGTATTTACATAAGAATATAAAGAATGATATCAAATTCTATGTGCCAAACATGCCTAGGGATAGAAATCAGGAGAACCTGATAAAAAGTCTTCATGCAACTCAAGAACTTCATGCCTCTCCAGTTCCCATCTATAATTATTATTATTATTACATAGTATTTATATAGCGCCAACAGTTTGCGCAGCGCTTTACAATGTAAGGAAGACATTACAATTACAATACAATTCAAGACAAGATGGTAAGGAGGGCCCTGCCCCTGAGGGCTTACAATCTAATAGAGGAGGGGGAAATTATACATGAGGAGGTAGCTGTGAGGGGATGAATTATTTGAGAATGTAATGGTTCAGTGGTTAGGTTGAGGTGGGATAGGCTTCCCTGAAGAGATGAGTCAATGCGGCAGGCCATGCCCCTCCTCTCCATCCAACAGTTTGATTGATGGCAGAAAGAGCCTATGGCTCCTCCCCCTGCCACCGGGACGAACGGGGAGTGGAGAATCCCTTCTGGACCGGCGGCAGTGACAAGGAGCTGGCAGGTAAGTGTGGGGGAGAGTAAAAGGTACTGGGCGGTTTTTACCTTAATGCAGAGAATGCATTAGGGTAACAAATGCCCAGACCTTAATGCTACTTTGAGCTGGCCATACACTTTGAATTTTTTCTTGTTCAGCCCCACATGCTAAATAGGAAAAAATGCTTGACTCTCCCATCCACATTAACTACCTGCTGTCCGGCCGTTGTAATTAAACAGCCGGACAGCGGCTTCTTGAGGGCGGGTGGGCGTCTTTAGATCCTGAGCTCCGCTGTTCCCGGTGTGAGCCCGGGACCAGCACAGCAGCTCTGCAGCCGGAGATCAAAGGGAGCTCAGTACTGGTGCTCCATTTGATCTCCTCTCCTCTTCTGAATGCAGGCAGTGATGTGTATTACATCACTGCCTGCATTCAGTATCACTCTCCGGTACAGAAACCGGAGAGAAGCTGGTGTAGCAGGTCTCTGCTTCATCAGCTTCTCTGGGGGTCCCTAGGTGACATTAGGGGTCTTAAAGACCCCTGATGTCTCCATAAAGAGGACCTGTCACTGCAAATTGGCTATCACATAGGGAGCCTGTTTGCTCCCTATGTGATAGCAATAAAGTTCAGTGAAAAAAAAAGGTTTAAAAATATTTGTTACAAAAAAAAATTTAAAATCACATATCAAAGCAAGAAAAAAAAAATTAAAGTCCCCCACATACGTCATGCCCGCCTACGTGCGAAAAAACCAATTACATCCATTGCGCCGCACATGTTACATATCACCGCGAACGTCCGGATGAGAGCAATAATTCTAGGGTCATCAATCACTGATAACACTAAGCTGATAAGCGGTAAAAGCTTTTAAAGCGTCGGCTATGGTTAAATTTTGAGTATGGTAGTTTTTTGCGATTTAACGGGTGCGCACAATTTTAAAGCTTGACATGTTTGGTGTCTATTTACCTGATCTGACCCCGTCTTTTATATTTTACCAAAAAAATTGGGTAACAATAAATGTTTTATAACATAACGTAGGGAGAACAGGTTTTTCTTCAAAAATTTCGTTACTTTTTTTATTATATAGTAAAAAATTAAAACCCCAGTGGTGATTAAATACCACCAAAAGAAAGCTCTATCTGTCCCCAGAAAATTGTATAAAATTCATTTAAGTACAGAGTTGCATGACGGAATAAATGTCAGTCAAAGTACTGCAGAGCTGAACACTGAAAAATGGCCTGGTCAGGAAGGGGGTATAAACATCCCGGTCAGCAAGTGGTTAAACAGCATGGATAGGGGAATCTCTCCTGCCAGCTATTGTATTCTAACAGCTTAGACACCTTCACATGCCAGGAAGTCCATTGTTTTTTCAGGATGAATTACAGAAAAAAGGTACTTTTTTAGGGTACTGCTTAGGGTTCATTAAAATGTTTAAATGTTTTGTATAATATAACAAATCTTCACTTTTTGTGTTCAGGTCCACTATAAGATATGCTTTGTAAAAGCTTGTTGTACAGTGTGCATTTATACAAGTTGAAGTCGGTGTGAACAAGATGTTACTGCTGGAAAAACACAGCTGGTGTTATCATGCACTTTGTGCAGGACAACCAGCACGATACAAGAGTTCCTCTGAATGGCTTACAATCCTACAGTTGTATATATTGGATTGACCTGAGTTTGCAGGACTTGTGCCTTATACCAGCAGTATTGTCCAGTTCTTACCCTTGTGGCATGTCAAAAGTCATCATGCAGTAAAGCTAATACAACATTCAGCCCAAAATATCCAATCATTTAGTGTGATTTAGAGTCCCTGTATGTAGCCTAAACAGCCCATAGTCTAGTGGAAAAGTTATGCTTAGTATGCAGCATGTAGAGCACATTGCCTAGTGGGATGATGGAGCTTAGTATGTACTCTATACAGCCCACTACATAGTGGAATATATGGCAAAGTATGAAATCTTCACAGACCAAAGCCTAGCGTTATAATGAGGCCTAATATGAAAATTAAAGGCATGTATGCAAGCCTACACAGCCCACAGCATACACTGAAATTTGAGGTTTAGTATGCAAAATACTCAGCACACTGTCTAATGGGAAGAAAAGGCCTAGTATACAACCTACACAGTCTAGTTGGAGAATTAAGCTTTGTATGCAGCTGGCCCAATGCATAACATATACTATAGTGTAACACTCTTACTAGTAGTGTACAAAAATAAATAAAATGATTTATCATGTCCCCTGCTAACTTCCTCTCTTGGCTCAACTGATGGATAGACAGCTCTATATCCAGGTCAGTCTGTGATGTCAAAGTCTCATTTAAACACTGAGGTGTGGGTTTCTTTGTTGCTGACACTTGATGTCATCAAGTTGAGATTACTGTTAATACGTTAATTTTATTTAGTTTTGGCACACTTCTAGCTAGAGTGATACACTAGACAGCGATTGGCGCTGCCGAAGCGGCGGAAGTCCCCCCCCCCTGGATTTCCACTCGCCCCCATGCAATTTTCACTCGCCAATTGCGAGGGGGCGAGTGGAAATTTTGAGCCCTGATATATACTGTATGTTGTGTTTTGTTTCTAGTGAGTTATTCACTTAAGTGTGGGCAGCCAGTAGGACTAGTTGATCCACTAGAGTAGAAAGTTAATTTTAGCTGGCCCAATACAGCCTTCAAACTAGTGGGAGGAAAATTAATGTATGTGACTCACATTCTAGTTTGAGGCTAAGGCCTGGTATGCAGGCCACATAGTCCATAGTCTAATGGGAGGATGAGGCCATATGTGATACCTCACAAAGCCCACTCTCTATTGGGGTGACAAGGTCATATAAAACACCCAGATAGCAAGCAATTCAGCTGCAAGTTTGAAAATAACTTGCTAAACTATTGCAAGTCTCCAGATCAACGTGCTTTGCAAAAGTGCTGTACACTTGCAGAGCTCTTGCTAAGACCTGCAGGACTCTTGCTGTAGACTTGCCAAGCAAATTTGCTACAAATTCAAAAAGTGTCAACTAGAACTGCAAGTGTTATACAAGTCAACAACTTGCCAGGAATGTGTGCAGCAAGTTAACAAGAATTACAATTTAACCCTGCCACAAGTTTGTGGCAAGTTATCCTTGCTATCTGGGCAGCTTTACCTGATCCAGCCTAATGGGATTTCACTGTACGTACCTTTGTATGTTGCTATACAGAGCTAGCAGTCTTGTGCAATGAGCAGGATGTTACATGCAACCTTACACAGGCCAGAGTCAAGATGATAACGTCTTTACTGGCATTTCATCTAGAGTACTGTTGCCAATGAAAGCTTGAAGAGGTGAGTCTGCTCTCTGGACAGCTGGACAGCTGGACCTTCAAACCCTCTGCCTTACCAAATGCCAACATTTCTCTCTGGGGAACCAGGGCACAAGTGGGAGCAGATACATGTCACAAATGGGTCAGTCTGTGGAACCCTAAAAAAAACAGTAAAACTGAAGAATTTATTTTAGATGAAGTACGCTTAACAACCTTTGCCTTGGGAGCAAGAGACACTGAGAAGGTATGCTAGTTTAGAACAATTTAATTATCCACTTATTGTTCAAACCAGATAGGCAAGCTCTATCCTCATGGGCTGTCAAGAAGGACCCGAAATTGAAATTCATTGATTGATCCAATTAAAAAAAATTAAACATATAATCACCTCAGTCTCATATATGTATAGTTGTGAGGATTATAACTGGGTTTGAGTGAGCTGAAGCATGATATTAAAATGTATTACTTACCAGACTGGAAGGTGATTTCACTAAACATCATCCAAGAATCAGCAAAATAATATTGGCACTTGATTGCCCTTGCCATACGATTGTGCAGTTGCACAGTGACGTAACGAGCGCTGGGGTTTGCATCATCAAGTATCAAGACCGATAAGACAGAATTGGCTTCCCACTCATTAGCCTCAGATCTGAAAAAGCACTGTACCTCCTTAAAGACCTTAACACTTTTTGAGAACATGTTGTTACAATGGACCTGCATGGGTTGAAATGTTCATTATTATTAATCAAATTTTTTTTTTAAATCAGCTAATTTTTATTAAGTTTTTCTTTAAACAGAGAATATAAAAGAATATATAATAACACATATAACACAAATAAATAAGAAACAACCAAAACCAATAACAACACGCAAAACAAAAAATGCTACAAGATGCTACACAAACTTACATCTCTTGTACATTCAAGGGCACAAAAACAATTATTTTTTACGAAGAGAGTGTTCTGGGCTGAGGGAGATGCCTGGGCTAGGCTTCTGGGTCAGATTGCACACTCTCAACAAGCACCATCCTATATTGGGTCCATTAGCGAATCTTCTGGCTCTCTTTGTACAGATAATCAACATATACTGAATGTTTTTTCTCATTTCTTTGCCTCACTGTATACCTCTAAAGCAACATATTCTGATGTTGACTTAGCAAGGTATCTTTCAGGTATAACTCTGCCTACCTTAGCGGCGTCAGATGCCTTGGACCAAGAGGTCCCTATTACTATGCAGGAGATGGAACAAGCAGTTTCTAGCTTTCCAAGTGGTAAGGCCCCTAGTTGAGATGGGTTGCCAATAGGGGTCTACAAAAATTATAAACAATCTATCCTGCCTTTTTTACTGCAAACACTCAATGGAGCACTAGACTTGGGATGTCTCCCCAGTACTATGTATGAGGCCACTATTATTGTGCTTCCTAAAAAACATAAAGACCCTCTTCAATCAGAATCCTATAGACCAATCTCACTGTTGAACAATGATGTTAAAATTTTAGCTAAGGTGTTGGCTAATAGGTTGTCCACGAAAATGTAATCTATTGTGCATCCAGATCAATCTAGTTTTCTAGCTAATAAATCCACTGCTATTAACATCTAAAGCGCATATCTGAATATGCAAGTACCTATAGACAATACTAGTAATAGAGCATTTCTGGCATTAGATATAGCGAAGGCATTCAACTGTGTTGAATATAGATATTTAAGGGCCATTCTATTCATATTTGGGTTTGGACCTCGATACGGGGCTTGGATACATTTACTATATCATACTCCCTCCGCCAACATTAGAATTAACAATTCTCACTCCCCTAACTTTTGTTTACAGAAGGGCACCAGACTTTCTCCCTTATTGTTCGCATTGGCCATTGAACCTTTAGCTACAATATTTACACAGTCTCCAAATATCATAGGTTTTAAAAGAAGTATGGAGGAAGATAAACTCACACTATATGCTGATGACACCCTGCTTTTCCTGGCGGATACTCAGTCTTCCTTGCATAGTGTTATGGTACACCTGTCGGATTTTGCTATATATTCCAGTCTTTTAGTAAACTGGGATAAATCCAATTGACTTCCTATAGACCCTTTACCAAACCCATTGGCAGCGGATCTGTCTTTTACTCCCATATTGTAAGAGATCCCCGCTATCTGCGCATGCGCCAGGCACGCTTTCCCATATTGTTTGGACGTGCGCTCTTTCGTGCATGCGCAGACGATCGCAACCAGCAACATGGAAACGCGCCAAAGTGGCGCACAGGAAGTGACTCATCCCATTAATCACTTCCCCTATATAAGCCCAGCCAGAGCACTACCATATTGCTGGATTATTGTAAGCTATCCTCTATTCCTGTGCTTCTGTGATCTTTTGCTTGACTTGTTGTGACCTCGACCTTGGATTTGCTTATTGGACTTCGCTTCTACCTGACCCCTCTATACCGTTATTGCTCGATTGGAATTGACCCCGGCTCGTTTACTTGGATTTCGGCTTGCACGGTGTTCCACACCACTGGCTCTCCTGCCACTTGCTGTCCTCTTGGTCTCTGTACCCATCCCCAGAGTCCTCGGGACAAGAGGTTCAAGGGAGGCCTCCTCACACGTTCAGTCTCCAACCAGGTGCGTTACACATATGCTCCCGGATTACCTATTTGGGTATCCTGATGTCTCCACAACTTGCAGACTATGCCGCACTTAATCTATTCCCATTATTGCATAAATTTAGATTTTAAAAAGAAGTCTGGCTCAAATTACCCCTCTCAGTGGCTGGGAGAGTCAATCTTATCAAAATGATCTGAATTTATTTTGCACAAGACCTATTGTATCCCTGAGTTCCTGTTCTAAATTGGTACCAAGATTGACCTTTCTTGTCCAAAATGTGGTTTTCGCCAAGGATCCCTGATACACTTACTGTGGAGATGTCCCAAATTGGTCCGATATTGGGGTGCAGTGCTTAAGGTCATTCATTCTGTCTTTGGTATATAACACACCCAGAGTCTGCATACTTGCAATTTTTTATTTCCCTTGGAGTGATTCGTACATCAAATTGACTATACACAGAGCCTTATTTACCACTAGGAGACTGGTGGCTAAAAATGTATATCCACCATCCCTCCCTCATTATCCGAATGGATCTCTGAGTTAGATAAAATTGTAATGTTTGGATGCATTCCCTATCTATATAGAGGGATTGGTGAAGACTAATTTTTTTAATCTGGTCCAGATGGCTACACTATCGTACACATTAAGGGCACTCTGAATTTCTTCATGTTATTTTTATAATTTAGACATAAGGGTCGTATATATGAGCTCAAGATCTAATGTGACTAAACCAGTTCCAAGTCCTTATGTTTCTTTTTGAATTACATCAGCGTTGTAAATGTTTATGTGGGCCTAGGTGATTTGACCTAAATGAGTTAGTTCCTGGATATTGTTTTATGGTGGATGTGGGGGTCTCTTTTTTTTGTGTTGTTATTGGTTTTGGTTGTTTATTAATCACATTTATAATACATTTGCTATTTCAAAAAAGCAAACAGAAATGTTGAAATTGTAGTTATGCATTTCAAACAATCTAAATTTATTTTACACTATGCTGAATGCAATAAACTACCCTATGCAATACTGCCATTTACACATTATATTGCGCTTTATTGTGCATAATGTCAAATGTCATGTCAATTTATGATATGATTTGTAAATAAAATAAGCTATAGACAAACTCCACAGGACATCATATAAACACTCCCCAATTTACTGTAGTACTACATTGTATAGCATTAAACTTTCCTTGGCATTTTGAACATATCACAATGTGGATACTATCATGCAATTATACACAAATCATGGGAACATGTATTAAAAAATGTGAGCATTTATTGAGATGCTACAAATACACAGTTAAGTGAAATTCATAACATTCTATATCAAGTTAATCAACTTTGTTAGACCATTTACTGACTTTACTGATTTTAGTGAAATCTTGTAAAGTACATCTAAAGCCAAAGCTTTTTCCTATTTTGCATATAGTAGTGATTGAATAAAACCCCCTATCAGTTTTATCAGTAGTCCATTGCATAGCTTTCCATTCACCTTATGACTTGTAGACACAACAGGAAGTTAGAGAAAATCTCTCCAAGTGAGGGAAGTGCCCCATTCTAGACAGTTGTCACTGGAATAAATGTTCCCATTTGGAGATTTCCTGTCTACAGCTATACTTGCAAAAACGCAAAGTTCTGGAGAAAATGATCATCACAACAAAAGGAAAGAGTGAATCTCCCTAATGGGAGTGCAAGTAGCCAAAAAAACTTTTCAGGGGTTCTTACTAGGGATGCACCGATACTTTTCAGATACCAGTGCCGATACTTGGCATTTTCATGAGAACTTCGAGGGTTGTAGCGGTTGCAGCAGGGACTGGGCTCTGGCGCTCCACCACTGTCCTGAAATCATTAGTCTGTATTGTTTTAGAAAGACTGTCATATGACAATAAACAAAAATGTATCAGTACTTGTACTTGTGTACTTGGGCACACAAGGTACAGGCAAAGGGGGGAATTTCTGATCAGTGGTCACATGATTCGTCTGCTCTCTGTATAGAGCTGTGGTAGGCCAGATGCAGCATCACAAGGATGCCAAGGTATTGGTCTTTAAGGTATCTGGATGTGTAATATTGTATTCACTGTGTTTATGTGAGTAGACTGTTGTACTAGTGAGAAAACTGAGTAAGTGTACAAGTTCCAACAAGAACCCCACAGCGAACCAACCATTCTGTTCTGGGCAAGCATGGTGCAGCATGTACAGGTTAGCAGGCTATATAAAACAGTAAAATCTGTTGTTTTTTTGTGCTGGAAGCATGTTTGCGCAACACTGCTGGGAAGAGAGTGACGTGACATGACAAACAGACTGCATTGGAAAGCTATATAGATGTAGAAGCAGCATGATTAATTACCTTTAATATTAAGCACCCTAGTAGCAAAAAACTATAGGAGACACAGGGGTTGATTTCCTGAAGTCAAATAGGCTGTTCACATTACAAAGGAATTTCCACTTTGCAGGGCTTGTTTCCCCTTAGCTTGGTGTATATGGTGAAATTTCACTTTGCAAAGAATACCTAATAATTTTCAAGGAAAATGTAAAAAAAAATTGTGGTTTTGCTTGCACATGATTGGGTGATGAGTCAGCAGAGCTTCCCCTGCAAAGTACAAATTCCCTTGCAAAGTGAACAGTTTATTTTTGTTTAATGAATCAACCCCCATATATCTACATAAATGCCATTTACTGACACAGTTTTATAATTTGATACAGATATTCATTAATCTATTATTGTTGTTTTATACATTGGTATGTTTTAATTCTCTCAAGCATTAATACAATTTGATTGTACAAACCTTCATTGTTGTAAAATTTCTTATTCTGTCAAATTCAAACATGATTTCAACGTATCCATTGGAGAAGCTTTCATTGCTCCACCCTACGTAGTCATATCCAGGCCACATGTGATACTCATGGGTCAAAGTGAAGTCATCAAGACCAGAAACACCATCTGTCAGCTGGCCAAGTCCTTCCATCATACTACCATATTAACAAAACAAAAACAGAACAAATATGATCACTTTCTATGTTTTTTTTTTTGTTTTTTTTAGCACCACCTCCTCAAAGTGCCTCATTTTTGGCTTCCTCTGGGATGATGGCAGTAGATCCCTCAAAATTTTCCCATGTATGTAATGTCCTCCTTGAAGCCAGCCAAACTTCCTCACACCAGCACCACCATTCCTCTTTCTCCTAATTTGAGCACCCTAACCTTTGTCCTACTCAACAGCAGAACCAAAATATTCCTCCTCCTCCTCACCTTTAGCAACTCAAGCCTTCATATTGCAGCACCTCAACCCTCCTCCTCAGTGCCAACACTCCACCCCTTCTCCTCCTTGTATTTCTTCTATGTTTCATGGCATTTAACATGCTGGTGGAAGGCAAGAATGGCCTGCTGTGGAAACTAATGGCAGCTGGTGAATAGCCTCCTGGGCAAATGGGTTATTGAGCAAAGCTGCCATGAAGATGCTATCATAGGGGTGATTTGGGGAAATGTTTTTCTTCCACTTCTGCAACAGCACTACAGAGTTCTGTGGACCAACAAAAAAATTCTGCCAACTCCAAATGGCAGGGATAGGGCAGAAAGAGGAAAAGGACACAGGAGAAGTACAAAAGAGGCAAGTGGTGGCTCTACGCCCTTCAAGTGGAGAAAGAGTAAAAGGGAGCATGAGTAGCACAGTAAAAAGTGGCTGCTTTGCACCCTTGAGGAGGAGGTGGCAAAAGGCTAATAAGCAGCACAGTAAAAAAAAGTGGCTGCTCTGTCTTCTTGAGGCAGGCCCAAAAAATGGCTACTATGCACCCTTGATGAGGCGAAAAAGGGCCAGGAACTTACTGCTACATTAGGGTTGCAGCTCAAAGAACTTGGCCAAAAAAATAAAGTATGCTTTTGTCCGCTTGAAGAGGAGGAGAAAAAGGGTGCATTAGTAACATTGTAAAAAAAGTTGCTGCTGTGTGCCCTTGAGGAGGGGGAGCGCCTGCCTCTTGCTGCTGAACCTGTGTCCTTGAAGTGCTTCTTCCACTGAGCTCTTTGGTGCATAGTCATGTGTGAATGTGGTACCCAAATGGCTGGAACTTTTACCATGGCTGATACATTGCAAGCAGAAGCTGAAGAACGCAATGTTGCTGTCGGCCAACATCGCAGAGCTCTTTGTAAGTGCCGCCTGTTTATGTTGCCTGCGTACTGTCCTGAGGCTAGCCAAATTCTATCAAACACATACCTGAAGTCTGTATTTTTCAAGTGTTTTCTGTGTGGTACTGGTATTGGTAAAGAAGCTCACAAACTATACTACTTAACTGTGATTGCCATTGGCCAATTTGAAAGTGTTGAAAAGTTAAGGATTTTAGCTTTTTTTTTTTTAAGAGTATGATTTTCAATAGCTTTTGGATCTGTCGTGGCTACTGCTTCCACTTGTCAGTTCAAGCTTATAACCACTGTTATGGATGTTCGCTCTGTCTATTTGTCTTCATCATCAATGTCACTGGGAATAAAAGTGAGGGTTAACCCAAAATTGTAAGTTGCCACCAGAAAAGGAATAGAGGAAATTTTCCAAGGGGACACAACCACTGATGGGGGTGCTCCATAATCGGCTGAGTCGAACTCCTTCTGCACTTCGGGTCAGCCGAACATGCTGAGCCCCAGCAAGCCGATGTACGGCTGATTTCAGCTGATATACGGCTTAAATCAGCCGTACCAGCCTGAAGTTAATAGCCGAACAGTGTTCGGCTCACTTCACATAGGTCGGTCATTCACTCGGCTGGCTAGGCAGCTTAGTGAATAGACCCTTACATTTCTGTGTTATTTCTATTAACAGACTGTAGCACATATTTTGTTTTCTTCCACTGGGGATTAACTCAACAAGTCAATTTACAACTATAGCTGCCTTACTAGTTGCATAAAACCATGAAGATTATTGTGTGTGAATTGTTCCCACACTATATTATGTATTAAGCTGAGATTGAGTCTTTTATCTTTCAGTATAACATGATAAACCTCAAGTCAAATGCTAGCATTCCTCATCTTTAATAGGAGTGGGTAGAAGCAGCTCACTATAACTTTTTTCAGACATCACAAAAAATGTGCTTCATTACAGTCCCACATCAAGACTTTTCCTTTTCTGCTTGTTTCCCCATCTGTGAAGTTCACGAACTACTGATTCACAGAGCATTTCTCAGCTACCTATCTACTGTAGTTATACAAAATGTATATTTTGGCTTTGGTCACATGTTATTTGGTGGAATCACCTGCTGGCTTCTTCTTTTTGGACTAGAAGCAAGGTGGCTACACTTGAAATCCAAGTTCCAGCCACCTTCTACAGCCATTACAAGGTAGTATTCTTCTCCCTGTTGAATTTTTCTTTTACTTTCCCTTATGAAGAAAGCAGCAAGGGCTATTGGGGTCTAATAAAATTAAAGATAGCAAACAGTGACCTAATAAAACTCTATCCCACCATACTTTAATCGGTCTGTGGCTACATTATGTAGAATTTGGAACATAATTTTCTAACTAAATTATAGAATATGCTTAAAGAAAAGTTAATTTACCTGTATCCAACTGCTCCATCATATATAGTATCATTCAGGTTAACCATCTGGCCATCATATAGAAGAAATTGCTGACCAGCTGGGGCATTGTAAGAGACCAGTCCATCTAGCCAAGAAAAAGAGTCCACATATTTTGATTTTAATCTGTTACTAACAGTCATTTTTGGTGTCACCCCCTATGAAAAGTCAGGTCACGGACCGAGAGCCCGACAGTGTCAGGAGAGAGGAGGGGACCCGGTGGCATACCTCATCCCGCCGAGTGAACGTCCCCGCCTCTCTGCTGGCGTCCATCACCAAGGTTTTCAAAATATTGGCTTTGCTTTAAAGAAGCGTGGCTTTAAAGGAGAGCCCTGGGCAAAATTATTATTAACCCTTGCAGTGGGGCTATCCCTGCACTGCAAGGGTTAAGTGCTCATGTTCATCTAGGGATGAAAACAACAAAGTTATACGCACCTGAAACTTGGAGCCGGCTGGCTGTGAGACTGGTCCTTGGAGCCTGACTTATCTTTCACTCCAGTGATGGAATGCCCCTCGACATCCCTACATCCTATATGCTGTATGGGACATAATGAGACCGTTTCCTGCAGCCTGACTCATCTTTCACTCCAGCGATGGAATGCCCCCCGACATCCCTACATCCTATATACTGTATGGGACATAATGACTCACAGGACCTTAGACCGCCTAAGCAGAGAGGACGTGAGGCTGCAGGGATCAGTCTAACTAGCCAGCCATTTCCAAGAATCAGGTGAGTATAACTTTTTTTATTTTCATGCCTAGACGAAAATGATCATGTAATCTTTGAAGTCCTGGGGTATCCCCACTGCAAGGGATAAGCATAATTCTGCCCGAAGTTCTTCTTGAACTCTAATACAACAAAATAATTTGAGCCACATCACTTGCTTCTACACCCTCTGCACTTTCCGTCAAGGAAAAGTGACACTGTTATTTTGAAAAATGGCACCTTTAAATCTTTCAGGCCTCTACACCATACTATTATATAGTATATAAAGGAGAATCTGCTGATTTGCGTTTGGTGTGCGTTTCAAACACATGTAAAATGCAGGAAAATAACGCCTGTGTACACAAAGCCTTACTTTATTTTTTTCCACCAGTCTAAACAGTTTTACTTTAAACAGTAGATACAAACTATCATAAAAAATAGAAAAAAGTATTTATAATCACACAATATAAAGTTACTCTGTAGGTTTTTTGGGTAGGAACCTGATATTAAATTTCTTTTTTCAAGTTTTCTTTTTGGCAACTAACTAAAAATAGCTATTAAAATATTATAATAATAGCACATTTGCAAAGGTACTATTATTATAATAGCAAAGGTGCTGTTTTTTGGCACTGACTCTTACCTAGCCAGACACAGCCATATAGCTCCACTCGTAAACACACATTCATAGAATGATCAGTAACTGGGATGAAACGTAGAAACCTGGCAATAATTGGTGGCTCCAGATCTTTTAAGACTATGTCATAAGGGTTGACATTTCCTTCAAGAACCTGTAAAAATAATTGATTTAATGAGAACCTGAAGTTAAGAAGATAGGGACATAACAGTGTATTTCATTAATATAATAGCTATACATATGAACATAAATAATTTTTAATATTTTGCTCTGTAAATAAATATATATTAAACTGAATCAGTAGCATTAGCTTAAAATACAGAACATATTACACTAAACTGGTAAAACAGTATTTCTATATGGCGGGTACATATATGCATGCACTGTTTGTGGATCTTTGTAAACCCGTACCATTTGGATTAACTGTAAATGTTGAACAATTCAATACAAATAGTGTGCCTAGAATAAGAAATTTGGATACGTTATCTCAAAAACGTGGAGCTTTAGTAATAAGACATAAACAGTTAAGTACAATAGTTTAAAAAAAAAGGAAAATTCTTTTTTTTTCTCCAAAACCATGGATGTTGCTAATATTGATTTTCTACAGTTCCCTCCTGAACAGTTTTGACTCTCTTATTTTTTTCAAAGGGTTTATACTATCTAATGAACATTCCAACACTGCAGTGTGTTAACACAAGCTTCTTAGGGCACAGGAGACCAGTTCTACCACTTTTTTAGGAACATACCACAAATTGGGAGGACTGTAAAAGTGGAAGTGAAAGAAATCTCCCCTGTGGGGAACAATAAATAAATAAAAAGATAGAGGGCTTAACTATATCCTACTCTGTTTAAAACTAAAAAAGGTTTTGGCTGCAGATACACTTTAGTACAGTATGTGCAGCATGGATGCATTTGAAGGATGCCCTTTCTATTCTTGACTGATACTGTGGCCTTAATTTACTCAAGTTCATTAAACTGAGATAAAGTACTTTTGTAATTATCATACAAAGTTGATAGCTGTGGCTTCAAGGTTCTGTTTGCTTCTTTTATTTATTTTATTTGTTGAACTTGTGACTTTTCTTAACCTATTTATGCAAGCTAAAAAATGCTTGATAAAATTGTAAGTGAAAAAATGGAATGCAGTGCTAAACAATGATTACAAGCAGGAATAATATGTCATCCAAATGTACTGTTCATTTTAAGTAGGGATGCACCGATACCGGTATTTCGGTATCGAGTACCGATATTTTTTTTCTGGTACTCGCCGATACCGAATACCGATATCGGAAGTCCCATTAAGGAAGCCAGGTGGCGTGTAATAACTCACCACCTGGCTTCCTGATTAGCTGGGAAGCCAGGCGGCGTGTAAAGATTTGCCACCCGGCTTCCCGATTAGCAGGGAAGCCGTCCCCATGCTTTTCATCACTAGGTGATGAGAAAGCATGGAGCCGGCTTTCCAGCCAATTAAGGAAGCCAGGCGCTGTGTAATGACGGGATGCCCGGCTTTCTGATTGGCCAGGAAGCCCACTCCATTCTCCTCCGTTATGAGGTGTCGAGAGAACATGAAGCCGGCTTCCCGGCCAATCAGAAAGCCGGGAGCCGTATCTTTACATGGTGCCCGGCTTCCTGATTGGCTGGGAAGCCAACTCCATGCTCCCTCGTCACTTGAGGATGGAGTCGGCTTCCTGGCCAATCAGAAAGCCGGGAGCCGTATCTTTACATGGTGCCCGGCTTCCTGATTGGCTGGGAAGCCAACTCCATGCTCCCTCGTCACTTGAGGATGGAGTCGGCTTCCTGGCCAATCAGGAAGTATCGGGCTAGGCATTGGAGCATTTGGGCAAGTACGAGTACTCACCCAAATACTCAGCATCGGCACTGATACTAGTATCGGTATCGGTGCATCCCTAATTTTAAGGGAAAAAGTAATAAAAAGTAGTTTTAGGGTGTTGTCCAATACTAATCCTGTCTTAGATGATTGACGCCGGTTGACTATATAACTTTATTTTTTACAGCAAAAAATGTATTTATTAGTTAATAAATATTTTTTTTTAATTATTAGAGTTATTATTAGAAATATTTTTCACATTTAATAATGTGAAATGAAAGCCCACTATACAACCCAAAGAAAATCCACTAGGTTTCAGTATTCTTTAGTGTCTAAGAAGCACACAGATGATGGGAAATGTGCCTTGAGCAGCTTGAACCTCTTTATTAACCAACAGTTGTCAGAAATCACAACTGTTTGCAAACTTTGCCCCAGACTGCCAACAGTTTCCAGACAAATTATTACAAGCCCTTAGGCAGACATTTCTCTTTACTCAGCCCTTCCTGAAATCATTTAAAAGGGTGCTCCACCTGATTTGTCACTGGCATTAAAATCAACTTGCCTCTGAGGCACTCAGAAAAATCTCCCTGTGCTTTAGCTTAATCAGATCAAGATCAGATCAGGAATGAACGTGGCATTCAGCTTGGCTCCTCTCTGTACCATATCCCTCTTCCAAATGGCATTAAATTATGGTGTGAGCACACTCTTACAACATCATTGACCTAAGCCTGACTTTTTAATTTTAATTTCAGCTTTCCTTGCCCCCAATTTGAGATAATTTGTAAAAATAAACAGCAAACATTGACCATGGAACACATTTTGATCCAACATTTAGGCCCATTTACTCTTACAGGTCTTTGTACATATTAATCCCTTATACAGTATTCTCTATACTTTACTGTTTCTTCCTCCAGAAGCAAAAGAAAATAAAAATTGCAGGAAAAGCTCTCCACTGCTATGCACTGAAGCACCTGCTGCAGACTAATGTGATTCTCATTGTGAATCTTCACAGGCATTAGTTTAGTCTGTAAACATAGCTGAAAGGACAGCAATGCTTGTTGCTCCCTAAATTTTCAACTTGTATTAACAAGACGTAGGCATAGTGCTGACACTGTTCTTCCTTCTGGAGGGTGGCTTCTTTTGTTCCCCATGATCCCTGTGTGTGTGTTGTAAAGTAGCCACTGTTCGATAACGAAAAACCGGTATCGGTACATCCCTAATAAAAAATAATAATTTTACCGTTGGGGTTACCACAACTTGGCAAATGTTACCAAGGGGTCCCGACCCTAGAAAGGTTGAGAACCACTGTTGTAGACAGGGGCTACTCTTGTTCCCCATGGTCGCTGTGTGTGTTGTAAAGTAGCCACCACTCCAAGCCCCCTCCTGTCATAGACTGCAATCTCAATACAAATTAGTAAACTAAACATGCGATTGTAGTCCATTACGGGAGTGAGCTTTGAGCAGTGGTTACTTTACAACACACACAGGGATCATGGGAAGCAAAAGTAGCCACTCTCCAGAAGGTAGGACAGTATCATCACAAATTCAGAAAAACTCTTATGTTACACATTAGTGGTAAACATTGACTGTGTGTTGCCAGCAAATGGGATTGAAGCACCAGCCAGCACCGCGTTTCTCAGTCTAGCACATCTCTGCATCTGCCAAGACCATTACTACAAGATAATCACTATTGCTGGTGTTGGTTTACCCTTTTAAAAAGCTGCAATTGTACAACTGTTTATCTGTGTTTGTACCTGACTGCCATGACGATTTTTCCAGGAGATCCAACGAGTGCCATCTCTGCTGTAGTTTATTTTAAACATCTGAGCAAACTCATTGCCATGTCCTCCTGCATGTCGACCTTGAGTGCCTACCAAGGTTATGAAATGAAGGACCCGCAAATCAATCTGCAGAAACTCAGTCAGTTCTTCTGGATCTACCGGTAACTCAGGGCACCATGCCCCATCTCCTTCTTCTAAATCCAACCTGTTTGACAATAAATCTCAGACTTCATATATATTTACACTTACATTAAACATATAATTATAGATCTCTAATAACTTCTATAATGGTTTGATTGCATTTTTGAAGTACTAACACAATTATAAATATATTAATAGGAGTATTATAAGCTTTGCATACATTTGTTTTATTGTAGACCATAAGAAAAGCAGCCCTAGCATTATAGTTGCAGATTGAAATGCAGGTGAGGGAACCTACTCTGCAAATAATATACAACTATTCCAAGCTCTGGATACTTGGGCAGGTCTAAAGCTGCTATGCTCAAAGCATAAAGCTATTAAATAGTATCAAATAGTTGCACAGCGCTAAATTCCTTTTCCATAAAATTGTGTAGAAAACAAATATCATTGTGCTGAAAAATATATATAACTATAAATAGATTGTTGCTTTACACACCTATTAAACAGTCTAATAGTGCCAGTGCATAAAGTGCATAGAGTGACATGAAATATAAAATTTCTAATGATCTCTGTATGATAAATTAATTATACACAAAGATACAAAGTGCTTGTAATCAGTGACAGCAATGCAAATCTTTCAAAGTCCAATGCATAAGGCTCAAAACACAGTGTATCAAATCAATCTTGTGCTGTAAACTGGCGATACTCTCCTTCTGCTTAGAACAAACCCCCAAAGGTAATACACTCAGCAGAGCTGTTGACTGTGAAAGACAGTCAGCATATTTTGCTTATCAGGTAAAGACCTGGTCTCATGCGGCTGAGTACTGTAATCTCCCTAGTATTCGTTCACAGTCTCTCTGGTGATCGAAACCTCCGTATTTACATACATAATCCCAAATCAAAAAATGGAATTCGTCATTGTGTAGTCAGTACAAAAAGCTTTATTAAAAATAGTAAAGACTTCCATTTAAAACTTTAAAATCCAGCCGGCGATGTTCAGTACGTTCCTTCTTCTAACTCGTGCAACTGAGGACAGCGTCAGTGGGATCCGCCCCACTGCAACCCAGCACTCAGTTTTATGGTAAAACTTAAAAGCAACAATATTTGTCAAAAATAATTTGTGCAGGACTAGAATATACTTGGAATTCATTGAAAAGATAAACCCATACTGTTGTCATTATTATAGTGACTATATTTGAGCCTGTATATTTGAGCTTGGGCATCTTTGACTCATATTCTGGATCACAAACCTAAGACCAGTACTGTGCAATATTATCAAGAGACATCAAGTAACTAGGGAGAAGGGATGAGGTTTGGTATGGTGCTGCCATGGGTTTGTGGCAGCTTAATGTTGCCATAGCATAGTAAACATAATGCACAGCTAGTTCTTTAAACTTAAGTCAACTAAGTTAGGAGGGTCTTCCATGAAAATGGTAGCTCGGCTCTATTGAAAGCACCCAATCAAAGTTAAAAAAGAAAAAAATCCTACCTTTGCCCTGACTTTCAACACTTCTAGGAGGAGTGGGTGATATCACTTTGCCTAACTGCTGGATCTTGGGATAGCTGGGCACTTAAAAACCCACAAGAATACACACTTGCAATGGTCTGGAGTACATTCTCATGCGATTTCCCAGCTATCCCAGGAGGTTGTGGGGAGGCAAGGGACACCACATGTGCCCTTTGGAAGCAGGAGTAACAGCTTTTGTTAAAATTGCCATTGCAGGTGATTAGACTTTGGCCCATCCAAAGGAGGGAGAACTTTTAATAGAGTGGACCTTCCATTTTCATGGAAGATCTGCTTTAAATGGTGAAAACAGTGGAATATGCCTGGGCAATGAACAGCATACAGAAGCTTATTTTTTCTGAAAGAACATGTGACTAGGTGATTTTCAGGCAGGAGATTGCGGGAGACAAGGGCAGAATGTTGTCACACCAAAACACAAAGTGCCCAAACAAGGACCTTTATATCAGTATCACCAGCTGTTATGGTCATGAAAGATAGTAATAAAAATAAAAATATGCATTCCAAGTTACATTATCATGCTAAAGTGGTTGGGTTTAAATCTACTTTAACTAACTATATGTATGGGCCCTGACATAAGCTGGGTTTGCCCAGTTTCAATTTATGAAGGCTTTTACCAGGAGAAAGGCCTAGGCTTGAGGCCTAGAAGAATTTGTTTTGCCTGGTTGGAGCACCAGGAGTAAAATCTTTGCTGCTGAGAGTGTCCTAGAGGACTGGCAATGCCTGGCTTACACTCCTCAGGTAAGTTACCATCCATGAACTTGTGTGAGGCTGGTGGGAGACAGATCTGAGCTTTATACTAGCCACTCAGCAGTGGTATTACACTGTAACCTGGCCTCTAAATATATAAACCACTGGAAATCACTTCACAAAAACATCTTCACAAATGATGTTATACCCTTTAGAGACTCACAAATATCTTCCCATCTACTTCTCCATTGTGTCTGAGTAACTGTGGACTTGTAGACTCTCTTTTTTTATGTCATATCTGGAGGTCCTGTGAGAAACTCAAATCCTTTTGGTCTGAGGTGTTTAGGTTTATCTCCTCAGCCACGCACATTTTGCAGGTGCCAGTCCTAGGAGTCAGGGTTGAGGCTTGGCCCCCGAATCCCATACCTTTTTGAATCATAACCTCAATGCCTCCCATACCTTTTTGAATCATAACCTCAATGCAGCAGGGTTATCACTAGCAAGGCTTTGAAAGCAAAAGGAAGTCTCCTCATTTCAATCTGTAGTATATATACTCAATACCCATGCCCAATTTAAATTTCTTTTTGCTAAGGCCAATTGTTTACAAGAAATTAGTACAGCACCTCTCCTGACACTACTATGAAAATATTTATGTTCCTTTCTTTGAAAAATTTCATAGCGATGCCAGGTACTTGATCCCATATTTCACATGTACCATACTGACATGTGAATTATTTGCCAGATTGAGACCATCTTACTCAGATTGTTCTTACCCCGCCTACTCTTAAAGCTGGTTTTACCCTTTCCTCCCTTCCCTCAGCTCTCTTGCTTTAAACATTATTGGGGAATTTATCAAAACTGGAGCAGAGGAAGAATCTGTAGCAGTTCCCCATAGTAACCAATCAGCTTCTCTTTTAATTTGTTCAGTTAAGCTTTTCAAATGAAACAGAGAAGCTGATTGGTTGACAAAACTGGATTCTTTCTGCCCCAGTTTTGATAAATTCCCCTCTATGATACTTGTTTGAGCATTAAAGGAAAACTTCTTACGCATTCAATATTTGCTTTCACCAATGGCATAGCTATGGATGCATTGTTCTAACTTGCTGTTTTATTGTGTTATAGATACCTTCTTTGTATCCAGGGAAATGTGCTTGTTTTTTTCTGCAACGTTCTTTTGTCTATTGTGATTCCTTTGTACTGCATTTTATTTTTATTAAAAAAAATAACTAGCAGAAACATATTTACTAGGGATGTCCTGATACCGATACTAGTATCGGTATTGAGCCGATACAGGGCAGTTTCACAAGTCTTTGTACTCATGAAAATGCCCCGATGCTGAAGGACAATACTGGCCTTTTAAATTTTTTAATCGGATTGGCTGCCTCAGATTCCGTGCTTGTGGGGTCCGGAAGCATCCTTCCGGGGATCTGGCAGTAGCTGTCTTTGACACTGCCTGCCAGGTCACATGTCTCCTCCTCCTGATTCCTGGTGCAGGCACTGCTTGAGGCAGCCCCACACCACAGATACAGCCTCGGAGCAGGCACATGACCAACACCCGCTCTGTTCATCTCACTACATGGGCTCAGCACAGCACCTGTCAGCAGCGCTGGAGAGACCCAATAGGCAGCCCTGGTGACATCTATACACAGTCCTGGAGAGACTCATTGGCAGCCTGGTGACATCTGGATGCAGCTGGTGACATCTGGACGCAGCCTGGTGACATCTGGACGCAGCCCTGGTGACATTTGGACGCAGCCCTGGTGAAATCTGGACGCAGCCTGGTGACATCTGGATGCAGCCTGGAGGCAACTGGACGCAGCCTGGTGAGATCTGGATGCAGCTTGGTGAGATCTAGACTCAGCCTGGTGACATCTGAATGTAGCATGGTGACATCTGGATGCAGCCCTGGTAACATCTGGACGCAGCCTGGTGACATCTGGACGCAGCCTGGTGACATCTAGACACAGCCCTGGTGAGATCTGAACACAGCCTGGTGACATCTGAAGGCAGCCCTGGTAAGATCTGGACGCAGCCCTGGTAGGATCTGGACGTAGCCCTGGTAAGACCTGGACGCAGCCCTGGGGAGATCAGGACGCAGCCCTGGTGAGATCTGGACACTGCCTGGTGTGATCTGGATGCATCCTGGTGAGATCTGGAAGCATCACACAGCCTGGTAACATCTGAACGCAGCCTGGTAAGCTCTGTACGCAGCCTGGTGAGATCTGTACACGCAGCCTGATGAGATCTGTACGCAGCCTGATAAGATCTGTATTGAGGTCTGCATGAAGTATTGTGAGAAACTGCCATAAAATCATTAGTCTGTATTGTTTTAGGAAAAAATTTCACATGTCCCTTTAAGAAAAAGTATCGGTAATTGGTATCGGCAAGTACATGAGGGCAAGTACATGTACTTGGTCTTGAAAACGTGGTATCAGGACATCCCTAATATTTACATATTTAAAGTCGTATTAAACTGTGATAAATTCAGATCAAGTAAATATACTGTACATTGGTCGGCAAACTATCTCCTAAAACTTTTGCCTGAGCACTTACATCATGTTTCCAAGCAGCTGGCTCCAATGCTCTTATCTCAGCTTCCCTAAACTTCCTGTCCAGTAAAAGATCACAAGGGACCAGCCTGTAGACGGGAAGAGGAAGAAGCGGGGAACAGGAAGCAGGGAAGTAGCTTGCCTTGCTGTGTCTCTGTGTCTGTGGGAACACACACAACTTACTAGTACACAGAAGGGTGGCTCTACTGGACCCTGCAAAGGAAAGAAGCCATCCTAAAACCAGATTTCAGGGCCAGCGCTCTGGAGACCAGTTGATTCTGCAGGAAGCTAAAACTTTTAAACATCAAGGAGCAGCATCCATTGTAAGTGATTTAATCAGCATATGAAATAGCTTAAAGCATTCTGACTTTAATATCACTTTAAGGGACTATCCTTTCTTTGTAGAAGTCTCTGCCCATGTAACAGACATACCTGCCATATTTAGCTGCAGTAGATTCTGACCACTGACTAGAAGCAGTAATATCTTCATCCGGAATCTGTCTTCCAGTCATGCCCAATGGATAGCGACATACAGCTGCAATTAAGAAATTAGCATGTTGTTTTTATCAAAGCTAGTAAGATGTGGGTGATGGCACATGCTTCCACATTTAATAACAGGATACTTCAGCATTTAGGCCCCTTTCAGATGGGCAGTCCAGTAAGGTCAGCCTGCCAGTTTTTCAGGTGGATCTGATCAGAAGCAGAATGTTACTCTTTGGCCAGCCGAATCTAACAGACTTGTGTCCATTTACATCTAGGTCCATAAAAAAAGTAATAAAATTCCCTTTTGGCGGAATTGATCATGACGGATTGGAGGTAATCTGATATAAACGGACACATGCCTGCTTACATCTGACTCCCATAGACCTAAAATGGGTCCATACAGCTCAGGTTTTTCCTTTATCACAAAAGTAACATCTGTTTTGTTCTGCTCCAATCGGTAGGGGATCTGATTGGAACAAATGGCATCCCTCTCAAAGGGGCCATAGGCTGATGACGCACATTACAATGTAATTGCACCTATTTCCACATTTATTAAAAGGATCCATCAGCACTCAGACTACACATGTTACCGTGTGATAGTATCTGTTTACACATTTAATAACAGGATCCATTTGCACTTAGGCTGACTACACACATTAGAATGTGATTGCACAATTGAATTTAGGCTTACCAACAACTATGTGGTAGGAAGATAAATCTAAGCAAATCCATTCAGTTTATATACAACCCTATAGAGCCTGATTCTATATACTTGCTGGTTGATGTAAAAGAAACTGTCCTATCAGTTTGAAATAAGTGTGGCCAACTTAAATACATACCTGTTGAAATTTAAAATCACAAAACAATTGTGTTTTAATAGAATAAGGGCTCTTACCTGGATTGACCTGCGATTGGGCAAAGTCTGAAATTAGGATCAGTAGTAAAATGTGGATTAACTCTTTTTTTGCCAACATCTTCCAGTGGCTGAAGTCACCATAACCTGCAAAAACAATGGAACACTGTCATGTTTTTAGATGTTTACCTAAAGAAAAAGTGGCTAAAGAAAAAGTGGCAATACATATAATCAAATGCTTGGAGAATGTTAAAATCTCAGTAGAGAGCGTTTTTCCTACTATATTAAAAGAGATGGTAATAATTACCTCCTTTAGCTCTAGAAACATAATCAGGATGTGAGCCAGTAATGATAGTGATGCATGTACAATGTCCAAACTGAACCTTAGCTTTAATGCATTGATAAAAGAAAATCCTGTGATTCCGCTATCATCACTCATTATCACCAGAATTTTATGCTTTCAAAGTAAGGAGCAATTTCAAAGCATCTAAAAATGGAATAACTAAAGACTATTATAATTTCTTACAAATAAGCATAAACAGTAAAGTATAAAAAAGAAATTGGGGAAATTGTGGGTACAGTTCCAGGTCCTTTACCAATAGGTTACCCTTGCTTGTGCAAAAACATGCAAGGCTTTAATTATCCTTTAAGGCTGCACTAGTTAGGGCTACACTTGCAGTTACATTTCTTTGCTACTGAGAGATTTCACTACTTGCTGCTCATTATTTCATAGCTGCACATTTGCAGCATAGAAGATGTGTGCAATGTGCTAGGGATGCTTTAATGCATGGGGGGGTCATGGAAAATGTGCTGTAAAGGCGAACTAACCCTTTAAATCTCTCTGTAGCAAAGAGATTTAACTGCCAGTGTAGTCCAAGCCTTTAGGGAAAAAAACAAACTGTTTTTACTTCACCTTATTTACTAAACTAACTAACTAACGAACATTAACTTTGCAAAATAAACAGTCCCTAATATTTTTGGAAATTAACTCCAGTGTATGTCTATATAGATACACATAATAAATACATTTCAGAAATCTTCCATGATAGTAAAGGAGTTTATTCAAAAAGCAGATTTCTGTTTGTCTATTTCATCTGCACTATTGGATAATTGAAGTGAAACATTGTGTGAACATTTTCAACTTTATTAGTAACCTTCCTCCGATAGTGTCTAGGTGTCTCACATAATGTACCAAAACATAATCTAAAGGTGCCCATACACCTTACGATTATCGGACGATAATCGTATGCGATCGACTTTTCGTCCGATAATCGTATGTGTGCATTGCAGTGTCCGACCGACAATACTGTACAATCGTACGACTTTTGACGGTCAAGCATGTTTGAAAACTTTGCTAGATCGTACAATTGTCGTAAGGTTGCTGGCGTTTCCGTCCGTCAAAAGTCGTACGATGTACACTGCGCTTGCGCTAACGAAAATACGGCAAATCAATTACCGCATTTCGTCCAGGTGCTTTTGGTTAATTACGGCTAAATGATTCTTGCGATCATCGGGGCAGGATGGGGCTGCTGTACGAAAATCGTACGACTATTCGATCATCGGACGAAAAGTATGGGCACCTTTAGTGTCCAGTTAAATATATTGAAGTGCAGGCATTAACTAGAACTTATTTTATATGACTATACATAATGGTTTACAAAAGATCTAAGATTTAGTTAAGCAAGATGTACAAATTTTAGACAAAGGGGTTGATTTACTAAAGGCAAACAGTCTATTCACTTTTGCAAGGGTATTTTCCCTTAGCATAGTGAATGTGGTGAAGCTACGCTGACTTCCTTCACCTAATAATCACCTAAAAATAGTTTATTTTCCTTGCATGTGATTGGGTTTTCCTTGCAGTGAATTTTCAACACGGTCACTAAGCTAAGGGAAAATTCTTTTGCAAAGTCCATTGAAAAGTGAACAGCATATATGGCTTTAGTAAATCAACCCCACAGTATCCTACTATATTCTACAATTGCTCAGCAAACATTCCGTAGCAAAGACGGGTCATTGTCAAGATTTACACATACAGCTCAGCAAACATTCTTTGATCACGTTCACACATTCCTTTCCTAGCAAACAAATAGTTGTAAAAGTCAGATTGCAAACATACAAAATATTGTCTAGAATATATACAAACTTATTTGATTTACACACATTGCTTGGCAAAAGCAGGTACTGTATATAGCTTATACTGACTTGTGAGAAAGTGATTTTTGTTGATGAAAATATGTTTCACAAGTCAGTCCATGAGATGGGAGCTTTTCACTGAGAATATATTAAGACTAGAGATATAATAGAAAGTTTATTAAACGTGATGTGTTGTTTCAATTACATGAATAATTTTACTGTTACTGCATTCTTCAGGGATTTAAACCACTGGCTCTGTTTCTCACGCTGACACAAAAACATCAGCAGAGAAATAAGGATTTACTGTTCGCTAACTATGAAAATGAAGACATCCAAAAGAGAGTGGGCTGCCTGTAGTCAGCTTAATTTTACCGCTGCTTTTACAATGTATCTTTGTTGGCTGTTTGTTGTGTTTTCAGCATGGAAACTTTTAAGCATAATGCTGTCTTTGGCACAGACTGGTTTTACTAAATGTTAAAAACAATGATGTTCACCCTGTGACTTTGCTTTGGTCATATTAACTACTGCTGGCCCTTACCTTGGAAAACTTTACTTTGTAAAGGTTTGCAGTAAAGCAGTGTGGAATAGGGAACCAACAGCACTGGAAATGGGTTCAATCGGTATGGAATACTGGACGTACAGCATGGCATGTAGAGCATACTAGCAAATATATTTTTGTATCTTAATAGAATGATGCCAAACCCATTCACTGTGGTTGATTTGCAGTGACAGCTTAGCTGATCAGTCCCACAGTCCTGTCCCCGAGGATAAGGAGAGGTGTGTTCCTCTTTAATTACTGTGCTCCATTCAGACCCCCATCAGCACGGACCTGCATTGATTGCAGTGACACGAATGCCAATCGTTGCCCCCGTCCCAGGCATGAGGAGAAGTATTTGCTTGTAATTAAGCAGCTGGGGTAGAGGAATGCTTACATTATTCACTTCCTCTGCCTAGTTCTGCATTAGATGAGTCATCAAAGGAAGTGAGTAGTATAATTTACTCTGCCCTAGCTCTTTGTTTACATGTGACAACAGCAATCGGCTGTGGTGCCTGTCTGTCACTGAGGGTCTAGGTCAGTGGTGGCGAACCTATGGCACGCGTGCCAGGGAGGGCACGCAAGGCCAGGTTTAGGCCACATAACATTAAGGCAGCTGACGGGGCGAAATCGGCAGACGAGCGAGCAGGAGGAGAAGGGGGACGGAGCGGCAGGGGGTGTAGAGAGAGGGAGATGGGGAGGAGATTTGAGAGGACGGGAGGAGCCGGGGGACTGAGCGGCATGAGACGGCCGGAAACAGAGTGAGATCTAGGCGGAGATGAGAGGACGTGAGGAGACGGGGACGGAGTGGCATGAGACAGATGGCGGAGACAGGGGGAGATGGAAGAGGCCTGTGAAGACCTGTGAAGACTGCAAAGGCAGAGACCGCGATGGAGGAGGCGTCGCCAAGGGGCCAGTCGAGCGGCAAAGCTGAGAAGATTGGGCGCCGAGGCAGCAGTGAAGGCTGGGCTTCCAGTGTAAGGTAGGAGCACTGTGATGGCAGGGCCCACCATAGATTATGCACAGCCCACCAAAGAGTCACAGGTGGGCTGTGCAATGCCTTTTGGTGGGCTTTGCAGGATCCATGGGGGGCTCTGTAGTCTGCAAAGCTCACCACAGATCCTGCACAGCCCCCCTGAGAACTGGCAGACTGCAGGGTCTCAGGGAGGTCTCTGCATTATCTGTGGGGGGCTTTGCAGGACTTGTGGGGGGTTTTCAGGATCTGTGGGGGGCTTTGCAGCCTCCAAACCCCCCACAGATCCTGCAAAGCCCACCACAGATCCTGCACAGCCCCCCTGAGACCCTGCAGACTGCAGGGCCTCCAGGGGGCTGTGCAGGATCTGTGGTGGGCTTTGCAGGATCTGTGGGGGGTTTGGAGGCTGCAAAGCCCCCCACAGATCCTGCACAGCCCCCTGGAGGCCCTGCAGTCTGCAGGGTCTCAGGGGGGCTGTGCAGGATTTGTAATGGGCTCTGCCCACCATGGGGCTGCAGAGCCCACACAGATCCTGCACAGGCCCGAGACCCTGCAAAGCCCCTCACAGATCCTGCACAGCCCCCTGGAGGCCCTGCAGTCTGCAGGGTCTCAGGGGGGCTGTGCAGGATTTGTAATGGGCTCTGCCCACCATGGGGCTGCAGAGCCCACACAGATCCTGCACAGGCCCGAGACCCTGCAAAGCCCCTCACAGATCCTGCACAGCCCCCCTGAGACCCTGCAGACTGCAGGGCCTCCAGGGGGCTGTGCAGGATCTGTGAGGGGCTTTGCAGGGTCTCGGGCCTGTGCAGGATCTGTGTGGGCTCTGCCCACCATAGACCCCGCAGATCTCACCACAAATCCTGCTAAGCCCCCCTGAGACCACAGCTTTCCTGCTATGCTAATAGCGCAACATGTCAAAAGCTGGATACAGTGTTTGCACTGTTTCCAGCGACTGACAGGTCACGCAAAAAGTATTAAACAGGAAGGGGTGGGGTAAATTTAGTGTAGGTGGGGCGCCCGTGTTTCGCCTTGCCTAGGGCAGCCCCAAACCAGAATACACCACTGCGTTCAGGGACCACCAATTGAAATAGATCCGACTGACCCAGATCGCCTTGGTATGCAATCCGGGCCAGTCACAATTAGGCAGCGGCTGCCAATAAACAGGTAGGTGAGACGGCTGCTTCCTCCTCGCTTGGACCCGGTGAGGCCCCCGCAAGTGGCCGTCTAATCTGCCTGTTTAGAGGTCACCGCTGCTGCCTGATTGTGACCGGCCCGACTACAGAGGCGATCCGGGACGTTAAGGTCCCCCATGAGAGCTGAAAAAGGCCGTTAGGCAGTGTTGTTGAACGTTTCTTAAACCCGAGCGCCCAAACTGCAATACCAAACTTATTTTCAGCGCTGGCACTTTGAGATAAATAAATTGATTTTGAGTCGCAGTTTGGGCACTCGGGTTCAAAAAGGTTCGCCATCACTGGTCTAGGCTGACAAGACATCTGAATGGGGCAC